TTATTTTTAGTTACCATCTGGCATTAACTGGTAGGCAAATGAATGTCGGAGCCGTCACGTTTATCATTTTATGCATATCGTCACACATTGAAAGAGTTAGTTAAGACTCGTGGAGGTTCTCGATTGTAGTGTCCTTGTTGTAATGGGCTTATTTACTTTTATTTGTCGTGATGCGGTTTATTTCTTGCCGAGCGAATCCGTTAACTAGTTGTGATAGTTCTAACGTTAGCTAGTGTTTTTAGAGCAATTTAATGCCTTCAAGCAAAAGCAACCAGAGGAATCGTCAAGAAAAGTAAACGCCATTAAGACTTGCTTGATTTGAAAGGCATGAAGACACAACGTGAAGAGACTGTTTGTGAATATGCAGTAACTTGACCGCTACAGCTGGATCAAGGAAAACACCAGCACCTTTTCTGCAAAATGAGGTAAGTTAACGTTATGTTTACGTTAGACTTCATGTTTTTGTTTTAGATGACACACACGACTTTAAACCCCAAATAATGAAAGATTAATTTACATTTAGCATGACTGCTATTATCTAAACTTCTGCCTGTAATGTTAGTCATTCTTTCCCTTCTCATTTGTTCATTTCATAATGTTTCTGTTGTTTTCTTATCTATTAACAGGACTTTTCTGCTGTAGTTTACATCCCAAGCACCACCTGCATGCTTCTTATGGGTTTGTATTTTGTTTTATTAGCATTATTATGAATGTTCAATACTGGCAAAACGCATTTGAATTTAAAGTCTGAAGAATAAAGTCTGTTTATAGAAAAAGTTGGTTGCTGAATACCCCCTTCAAAGATATTTATGTTTACATGGTCGGTAGAAATACAAATTGTATAGGGAAGATTTAAACAACTATGTTTAAAGCGTTTTTTTGAAGTGATCGTGTTATGTTTTTCATTTAGTAATATCTTTTTCTGTTTCAGGTGGTGGACATTCAGGGTTGCTGTCATTCAAGAAGTTATTGACCACATCTCCTACCCTATTGAGGCAGTAAGATGCAAAATACCTGAAGAATATGGCACTTATCCTGGAGTTCATATAAAGGTAAGCAACACATTTTTAATCAAATTATTTATAGAACATGTTATTGTGATTCTGTTTATTTAGTTGAAAATAATGAAACATATTAGAATGTAGCCTATAGTTGAGCATGCAGACAAGCTGACATGACATGCAATTGGAGTCCACTGGAAAAAAGTCTTAGCATTTTTTAAACAGTGTTTGAATTTGAGAGAATTAGGAATGGCTGATAATTTTTTTATAGTTGATAATTTAGTGAATGTAAAATACTGTACATTTGTTTGTCAACCTCAACCTGGTCTACATGATACTTTGTAGTTAATTTTCCTTCATTTAATTTCTTGTGTAGCTAAAAATATATCCTTTTTTTTTTTTTTCATTTCCAACTTTCCTGTGTAGAAATCCTGAACGAAGGTTGAAAAGGCTGAGATGAAGGAAACGTCCCCATTCCTCCAAAACTGCTGAAGTTCCTGTATGAACAACTTCGAAAAACCAGGTAAAGTTTCAAGCTTTTGTCAAATCTCAAAATGGAACTTTAACTGAACATACCGAAAAATGAACGTTTTTCATGCAAGTTGTTAAGATCTTAAAGGGATAGTTCACTTTGAAATACATTTTTGAAATCGTTTATACCTCAAGGACATCCAAAATGTAGGTGTCTTTGTTTCCACAGTATTTTCAAGTTTGATATTTTTAGGTCAAACCGTTCTTGTCTGTCAGTCATATAATGGAGGTTTATGGGGTTCACCCTGGGTCCCCCTAAAGAGCATGCACAGAGACGTCCAAATTAAACATGATTTAATGACTCGTGAATGTAAGTACACATTGATGGCCTAAAACACAAAACGAGCGGTTTGTGTGAGAAAACGAACAGTATTTAAATTGTTTTTACCTCTTGTAATCACAGCCACGTCCAAGTGATCTGAAGGATCACTTCCGGCGCACTTGCGCAGACCGAAGCGCCCTGTGCCTTCAGATCACTTGGACGTGGCTGTGATTACAAGAGGTAAAAACAATATAAATACTGTTCGTTTTCTCACACAAACTGCTTGTTTCGTGTCTTAGGCCATCTATGTGTACTTGCATTTAGGAGTCATTGAATCATGTTTAATTTGGACTTCTCTGTGCATGCTTTTTCAGTTTCACTTTTTCAGGGTGAACCCCATAAACCTGCATTATATGACTTACAGACAAGAACGGTTTGACCTAAAAATATCAAAATTGAAAATACTGTGGAAACAAAGGCACCTACATCTTGGATGCCCTAGAAGTAAGATAAAAGATATCAAAAATTAATTTCAAAGTGAACTATCCCTTTAATGAAATCTGAGAGCGTTCTCTCCCTCTGTTGACAGCTCTCCCTCTGCTTACTCCTACCACTTCAAGCTTCAGAAAGATAGTAAGATCATAATAAAAGTAACACAGTGTTAGAGTCCTATCCAAATGTGATGCGATAAGATTCTAGCAACAAAACATTTGTGCCACTTTATAAATTTGGGGTTAAACCACTGGAGTCACATGGATTACATTTGTGTCTATACCTTTCTGAAACTTGAAAGTGGTAGTTGCCTCAGCTGTCAATGGAAGGACAGAAATCTCTCAGAGTTCCTCAAAAAGATCTTCATTTTTGTTCTAAAGATGAATGTAACTCTTGTGAGGACGTGTGGAACAACGTGCGTGTGAGTAATTACAAATTAAAATTTTGGGGTGAGCTTATGCTTTATGTAATATTGTGTTCTCTTACAGAAAAATGGCATCAACACTAACATTTCACTCTTCTTTAATCCCTAGCTGGCATCTTGGGGAGGACGACCTCGCATCCAGTATGCTGCTGTGGGTGCCGCAGGATTTCGAACTCATTCGATCACTTGTCTCTATGCTTTTCGAACTGTGGCGACTAATCGTGCCTTGCTGTGGGTCAAGCCGCTGGATCTTCAGATCTTCTTCGATTTGCTTAATCCATCCTTTTTTTGGGTGCAATGCGCTGGATTCTACACTGGGTTGGACGTTTCCTCCAGAGGACTTGTGTGGTATTCAATTTGCATCCATTCTGCATGTGTCCAAACATTTCACTCTATTGACTAGAAGTCTAAAGCAATTTTTAAAAGCAGAAGCCTTATCTTCATTGCATTTTGTTTGTTTCTGTATTGTATCGTATTCTATTAGTATTGCATTTGAAAATGTTTTGAATCTTGACTTTCACAGTTTATGAAGGTTTTTTTTTTCCATTTTTTAAAATAATTTTGTGAGCTATTTGGTACAACACCAATATTGTGCAAGTACCTGCTCGTTTTCTTTTTTTTTTTTTCATTTCTCCCATGTTTGTTTAATGTCTTAACTTTTTCCACAATACAAGCACTTTTTTATGGTGCTTTGCACATTGTTAAATTGTGTGTGTCTGTCTGTGTATATCAATTTTTACCCATTGAATGCGTTTTAAGAATGTTTACATGAAATTTTTACAGAAAAATAAAACATGTTCAATATGTATATATTGTTCTTGAATTATTTGCTTCCAAAATATATGCTATAAAAATAGAAATTTCTGTATAAGGATTATCCGTGAATAGTACAGAAAATACGGAATTTTCCATTTTAGGTTTGACGGAAATGTCCGTCAATGGTACAGAAAAACTCATGTAAATCTACGGAAATTTCCGTTCTAAGGTTTACGGAAGTGCCCGTACAAAAACGGAAAAAGTGCTGGTAATTAATTACCAGCACTTTTTCCGTTTTTTAACGGAGATTTTTTTAACAGTGTACCTTTGCCTTTGCTCTCCGAGAGTCTTGAGAAGAAGTGGACGGACGTCCATCATCTGGGCTCTGCTGGCTGTCTCTCTGCCACTCTCTCTTCCTGTCAGCCGGACCTGTGGAGACAGAAACAAACTCACAAGACAGAGATGTTACATATCCAGGAATAAGCTCATGGCTCTGAGTCCCGGTCGGGCCTGGCATCCTCCTGCAAACAAGAGCAATACAATACAAAATACAATACAATACAATGAAATACCCCACCTCAGTAATACCCCACCCAAAATACTCAGAAATACCCCAACCCCCCCCCCCCAAAAAAATAAAAAATAAAAATAAAATAAAAATAAACAATAATAAATAAAATAAAACTCCAAAACTCCCTCAAAAACAAGAAAAGAACAATCAAATTAAAGCGTCCTCAGAAATAATATTAAATAAAAATAAATAAAACGATGTAGCGTTAGCTAGGATATATTATCCGATCTCCTTCTGGAATAAAAGTCTCCTCTCTCTCTGAAATCCTCCGAACAGCTTCAAAATCTCAAGTTCAGCACAAGAAAATTTTCAGCAAAAGTCTCTGAAATCGCCTCGACTCTCAACCAACCAACAGCGATCAAAGTGTTGATATTTTCATTCAAAATTCATAAGACGCGTCGCCATAGCAACTCATACTCGAATCACTCATATGCTCGCACGCGCATCCGAAGCCGCGTGCGTGAGCAGAGCGCGTGAGCTTACATCAATGACAAATAAGGTTTTCAACTGATAAAAAAAAAAAATTTAATTGGTTAAAACTTTACATCAAAGTAGTTATTATCTTTATGGGGATGTTTTTTTTTTTTTACTTGTTACTAAAATCTAAATTTTAAACTATGTATTTTAAGTGGTTTAACTGAGAATCATGTGACCACACCAGTCAAAATGTCATAAGGCCTACAGGATAACGTTAATGCATTTTCTAAATATTATGATATTAAAACTTTTCAAATCAATAATACTTAGGCTAATGAATATGTAAAGTGATACAGTAAACAATATTTAGAGATCAGAAAAAAATTTTTTGTATTTTTTTGTATTTCTTGTTTAAGTTCTTTACACACATTTTAACACTGCAATGTGAGTTAAAATGTAAAATGTCTGAAAAAGTTTAACAGGACTTGATTTCATGTTATTATTGTTTCCTCAACTCCATTTAGTGAAATTATGCATTTCAATGGAAAAAAAAAAAAACAGCGTTATCCCGTCTGACTTACGGTATATGGTATATGAAAACATATGAGATATCACATGAATTGTCATTTTTACAAAACTTACACACAATAATGTTCATAAATAATGAATGTTTGTTATGTAATGTTTTTTTTTTTTTTCAATGAAATTAATTAGGCTCCACTTTAAAGAAATACACAAGTGGTTTTCAGTGTGAACTGTTACACACAAACTCAGTGTGGTTTCTTCCCAGATTTGCCAAGTATACAAATACAGTTAAACCATTTTTTTCCATGTTTATGAATATCAAAACAGCACAACTTAGTTTAAGGTTTAATTTAGTTCTGAAAAGTACCTTGAACCATTTTACTGATCACTCAACATCAATATTCATAAATAATGTAAGGGTTAATGTAGGCGACCTTCACTGATTTCACTGAACATTATTTATTTGAACAACAAATTTACAAAAGCATGTAATTGAACAATATATTTATAAAGACAATTTTTATTATTGAAGTACATTGAATCACTAAATTTCATTAAATTAACACTAAATGTTATTTTAGACAATGTCTATAGTAAATGTAATGTAACTGTAATTGAAAATTATTATGAATTAAATCATTTGCTGATATTCAACTGAACAATATTAATGATATGTTAGTATCACAATTTGAATGGAAATTATACAAATTAAAGCTGAAAACTGTATAAGAAAAACAATATAAATCAAGAAACAATATAAAATCAATATTGCTTTATGCAGAGCAAGATTATATGCTAGTTTATTAGGTTTGTGCTTGAATTGTTAAATGACTCCTTTCAGACAGAGACCAGTTGCAATTAAATGTGTACTGCAATGACATTTTGACTAAAAAGACATACTGTAACAGAATAATAAGCCCCTTTCAATATTGCAACTCCAAAAAACATTCCCAATTTAGCAAACCATGCTCATAATTCTCCAAACTTTAAATCAAGTTTTCCTGAACTTCTGAAAAAAGTTGAATAAAGTTGGGGCCAAAACCAAAAATATTTAAGCTTTTTTGACCCGATCATGTTCGCTATCGCTAAATGTTCCGAGTCTTGGCACTGTCTCGTTACTTCCGGTTTCTGGACTGGCTGCAGTAACACGCCTCTGTCCATACGGGGGCGCTCGCAGGCGGAGTGCAGAATGAATGGAGGTCTATGGAGCAATACTACAACTCCTTCTTTAACCTCACAAAATAACTTAGTTATTAATCTGATTTGTCTTATTTTGGGTGGGATTCACTAACTATATGGTGTTTAAAGTACATTGGAAGTATTTATTAGCAATCTTAACAAATCTGTGATCTGCAGAAAAACAATCAACAAACTTTTCTCATTTGTTGCATTTTTATTTATCTTTCAAAACTCTTTCCTAGTCACACAAAAGATCTTACTTTATTTTTTCACTCAACACCCAGCATCATACTAATGGAAGTCTTATCTGTTTTCTTCTGAATGACGAAGATGATGATGATGCCAAGGATAATCACGTTGAAACCACACTACAGTAATGTCCATGAAAGCTCAAGTCCACAAATCCAAATCTCAAATCCTCCCAGTGTCAACCTTAGTGTGGATCCAAAATCCCATACAATTCAGCTTCGGGATCCAAAACAGTGCGGAAAACCACTGAAATAAGCCACAGGGCCTCTAAACTCGCTCGCATAGTTTCAGACAAGGGTCCCACCATGAGTGACAGAAAGACAAAAGCCACAGTATGTGAAGTCCTTCTACAAAATAAATAAATAACATTAGAAAAAATACATACTCATACATCAACCAGTCAACATAAGAAAATAAACAATGCTTACTTTCGATTGAGCATCAAACTTTCAGTTTCCCAATCAGGACCATTGATTTCTTGGATTTCTAATGCATGCTTAGCTTACTCCTCCATTACATGTACTCTCTACACCTGTTTTATACCTGAGAGTATTACTCCTTGATGCCCCCGCAAGGTGTGTAGTATAATTACTACAGCTCAAAAAAAAAAAAAAGAAAACATGTAACACTCAGTGTTGTTTATTTTATTGACTAAACTATTTACATTTATTCATTTAGCAGAGGCTTTTATCCAAGCGACTTACAAATGAGAACAAAAGAGGCAGTTAAACTAACAGTAGGACAACAATACGCAAGTGCTATAACCCCTCTCAGTTTAATTTTAGTGCAGTTTTAAAGAAGAGAAGAGAAGAGAAAGTGTTAGTACTACTGAATCTGCCGAAAAAGATACTGTACGTCTTCAGCAGTTTCTTGAAAGTGGCTACTGACTCAGAAGCTCTGGTTGAGTTAGGCAGATCATTCCACCAGCAGGGAACAGTCATGGGTAAAGGTCCAAGAAACAGATTTTGTGCCTCTTTGAGATGGTACCACAAGACGACATTCGCTAGCAGAGTGCAAGTTTCTGGATGGCACATAAGTCTGAAGTAATGAGTTTAGGTAAGAGGGAGCAATGCCAGTGGTTGTTCTGTAGGCAAACGTCAGTGCCTTAAATTTAATGCGAGCGGCAACTGGCAATCAGTGCAATTTTGAGAGGAGAGGAGTGACGACGAGTGCTCTCTTTGGCTCATTAAAGACTACTCTGGCTGCAGCATTCTGGATCAATTGTACACTGTAAAAAATATTTTCAAGATTTGTTATCACAACATATTTTCTTTTGTCAAATCAACTTTATAATAATTTATTTAGTTGAGATAACTTATTATTTTGAGTTTCTGATGGTTAAATTAACTCTGTGTGTTGTACTCACACGACTGGATGACAGCAGGTGGAAATACTCGATTCAGCAGCTCTGTTTTACTTTAACACAGGCAGGAGAGCAGATGAGGATGTCGATATTAACTCTGTGTGTTGTACTCACACGACTGGATGACAGCAGGGGGAAATACTCGATTCAGCAGCTCTGTTTCACTTCAACACAGGCAGGAGGACAGATGAGGATGTCAGTCAGGGCCTGAAATTAACACCCGACCACCTGCCAAATGCGGGTGAATTTTTCTATTGGCGGGTAACACTGTCAATCTACCTGCCACATTGGCAGGTAGCCAATGAGAATTGAGTGATTCATAAGGATTTTTACATTTCAACTAAGTCTGCCATTGCGTTTGACTTTAGCTAAAATGTGGCGGCACATTACTGGGGTAAAGAGGCCAGCTGAAACAAACAACCAACAAAAAGATGAATACAAAGTGGACAATTGGCGGCAATGGCAAGGTTCGTGAGCGGCTGATTTATGACAGCGACTTTTTCGTAACGTTCATGCGATCAGAAGAAGACGAGGCCCTTTTCTGACTATGTTTGGATGTGCGAGTATTAAACTGTTGGTGAGATGGGATGAGATAATGTAACGCTGATGTAGCCGACAGTACAATGAGAGTTGCACAGATGTGTGTTGGGAGTTGGGAACCAGTGAGAAAATACCCGGTACCCGGTAACTTTACCAGTAATAACAATATTAATTTAGTTAATAGTTAACGGTTCCTGAACGCTGTAACTAAAAGCTGTCAGGATCTGTCTACGTGACTAAATCAGCCATCAACACAGCCGCGTGTGATTTGTTTACATACGAGCTGCGGTAGGTCTATCTGTTGAGTATATACTATATAGCCTATACTATATATGTTGAGTGAGTGTCAAAATCAATGAATAAAAAGATTTAAAAAAATGTATGTTCTTAGAGTTATTATTATTATTTGAGAGAACTTAAATGTGTATTCTTGTGAAAGTGAAAGAACAATATTGTGAAATTCATGGGGTTTTTTCACCTTTCTATAAAGGTGAATGAAAAAAACCCCCCAGAAATTTCACAATATTGTTCTTTTTACCAGCCATTTTTGAGGCAAAATATGAGGCAAAAAAAAAAGGTGGCTGGTAAAAAGTCTCAGTGGCAGGTGAATTTTTAAATCCACCTGCCACAGTGGCCGGTGGGCGAAAAAGTTAATTTCAGGCCCTGATGTCAGTATTAACTCTGTGTGTTGTACTCACACGACTGGATGACAGCAGGGGGAAATACTCGATTCAGCAGCTCTGTTTTACTTCAACACAGGCAGGAGAGCAGATGAGGATGTCAATATTAACTCTGTGTGTTGTACTCACACGACTGGATGACAGCAGGGGGAAATACTCGATTCAGCAGCTCTGTTTTACTTCAACACAGGCAGGAGAGCAGATGAGGATGTCAATATTAATCTCCTTCATTGTATTAACTCACTTTTTCCAGTTCAATCAACTTAAAATTTTAAGGCAACCAGGTTACTTACATTTTTAAGTTAAACCATCAATATTTTTTTCACAGTGTAGAGGTTTGACAGAGCAAGCTGGAAGACCAGCCAGGAGAGCATTACAATAGTCCAGTCTGGATAAAAACAAGTGCTTGGACAAGGAGTTGTGTAGCATGCTCTGTAAGGAAGGGCCTGATCCTCCTAATGTTGTGCAAGGCAAATCTGCAGGACCGGGCAGTTCTAGCAATGTGGTCTGTGAATTTCAACTGATCATCAATTATTACAACCTCAAGGTCCTCAGGTCCGTATCGGCAGCTGGGTCCCGGCCTTTCTCGTCCCACGGAGGAGGAGATCGGCTTGGAGGATCTGCAGGACAGCCATTGAATGCAGGGTGGAAGCTGCTTGCCAGTTACAATACACACCGTACACTTCAGAAAGCCTACTTCCACTGAAACTGAGTTTAAAACTACCTGGCTAGTAAATCTTTCTTCTGTCACATGTTTACTTCTGCTTCTGTTCTGTCATATGAAGCAGGCTTGCTTGTATTTGTTTTAGTTCTAGAGTGCCGAAGTTACGACGTCACTCTGTAGGCCAAAACGCGGAAGTGAGTTAGCATTTTAGCACTACGGTTCCCTCGCTCTAAAGCCTATGGGATTTTTGAATGGGTTTTTGCTAAATCGCCTGAAATAAGGCGATTTAGCCTTAATAACTTGTAAAGATTATCTTGATAGACAAAACGTGTAAGGGTCACACTCACAACTGTTTGTTAAACACAGATCTTATTTTTTGCGATTTTCCAAAAGTCTATGGGGGAAAATGCATAGCTTTTCGACAGAGGGAACCCATGCGCCGCTAGCTTCCGAGTTGTCCTACAAAGTGACGTCATCACTTCGGCACTCTACTGATTGTAGATTTATCAACTTTGAACTGGTACCAATTCAGTGCATTTTCTTTTTTTCATTTCACAAGTTGTAGTGAAATTGCTGTCTCAAATCCTCCTTACGAACTTAGACGATAACTATATAATGCCAGTGTGCCCATTCAACCTGATCAGTTAATACAGAAGCCTACACTATAGAGTACACACACACACACACACACACACACACACACACACACACACACACACACACACTAATACAACCACAGTTGACCACAGTGCTGTAGGGACAGAGCAAAATAATCATAAAATCACATTCAGATTCTATATCATTACAACAGCCACACAGATAAAACAAAACCCCATGTGAACTCCCAGTAGGAAAACGGTTTGTCGCATCCTTCATCCCGTAATTCTAGAATTAGATCTCTTTTAAAAGGAGCTTGTAACAACTCCATATGTGGCGTCATATTGGATAAACTTTATTGACCATATTGACTTTGCCAGTATGGACTTTGAGTTTGAAAGACATTTCACTAAAATTTTTACACAAATTTAACCCTGCTAATGTAGCACTCCTGAAAGGGAGCAGCTTATCAGTAAACAGTCAGACGAGATGCTTCATTAACAGAGTTTTTACTTAGAATCAATCTTGGCAATAAATGAATAATTATTACACAACAATGCATGAGCTCTATTATTTCTATAATGTTATACACAAGTGCATGAGTATGTACTTCTCCTTTAAATCAACGCATCCCAAGTTCACTGTGAATAAATGAGTGCACTTAAAGTAGTGCGCATCCTAAAACAGCGACACTGTCTATATTCACAAGCCTCAATCTGACATAAAACACACACACACACACACACGTGAAAACACAGATCATATATCGACCTTCAACTCATTAAATCACTCTACTGATAAACACATAAACGATTTGCGCGCGAACCGCGTGCTCTCCAGCTGAAAACTCTCGCATTTTACATTGGATTCGCCCCGTATCACTCAACAATACAACACAATACCTAACCTAGCAAAATTAGATTTAGTCACTAATATTCACATGAGTGCAAATGTACGGTTCATGTACCTGAAAGGGAGCAGGTTTATCAGTAAACAGTCAGACGAGATGCTTCATTAACTGCAATGTTCTTCCGGGTTTCTCTCTCTTTTTTTAAGGATGTAATGTTTGGCATTTTTTTTAATATACAGAAAGCTCAAACGAATGAATACTTTATTATTATTCTATTATTGCAATTAAATTCTCTTTTCAAATTCACCGTTTTTAGGAGAGAGGTCCAACAGTACATCCAAATATTTCATCATCTAAAGCTCAGTAACCTTGTTTCAACTTTTTAACTCATTTCATTAAAGTTTTCTGTTCTGTTTTTCTTGTTTTTACATGTATATATAGGCTATATGAAATCTCTATGTATAGGCCCATGCATAAATTATGGATTTTATTATCATTTAATTGTATGTAAGTTTTACATTTTTGATATGTACTTGTATTTTTGATACCTTGGTATTACATTAAAAAGAAGGTGGATAGAGGACCTGCCCTCCTGAAGAATATCATTTTTTTCCATATAAAGATAAAAGTGTGTGGAAAATGCTGAGGTGCAATAGGTGACTGTCTACAAAATTAATTTTTATTATGCGGGTTGAAATTCTCCTCATATCCTGATAGCAATCACAGTGTTAAGCGGTCGAACACACACAACATCTCTCAAAATCAGGTACGCCAATTTATTATTATTACAAAATATTATTTACTGAACAATAAAAGTTAATGAACAATAACAGCCATTATACAAGAATACATTATACAAGCATACATTATACATGAATACAAAGTGTGTAGAATAGTCAAGTCAAATATATTTAAAAAGCACTTTTTACATTACAGATTGTATCAAATCTGCTTCACAGTATCAATCAAAAGAACATAACAGTGTTTGTTTATTGCTGGAAAAAAAGACATCCAAGTTTGGTGGAGCTGATCAATGGTATGATGGGTCATTTAATTTGAATATCCCCAACTGAGCGAGCCAAAGGCAACAGTGGCAAGGAACCGAAAAACTCCATCAAGTGACCCGATGGAGAAAAAAAAAAAAAACCTTGGAAGAAACCCAGGCTCAGTCGGGGGCCAGTTCTCCTCTGGCGTTTATGAACTAGAGGCCAAATTTACAGTAACTGTAAGATAAACATTTTATATGAACGCCTGGCTAAATAAATGCATCTTTAGTCTAGCTTTAAACTGGGAGATAAATGTGAAAATGGAAATAAATGTGAAAATGGTGGATCTGGATATTCTAGGAATGAAAATAAATAAAAATAAATAAAATACAAAAAGGTGATGCTATTACTATTTATACTAATTTATGACTCAAGACTTGGGTATAATCCGTCTTTTTAGTGGTACGGGTGTAGTGTAGACGCACGAGTCACGTATAGGAAAATGTTCGATTGTAAGTGAGTGTAAAGAAAGTGAGTTTGGCAATCGATCGCAGGGCGAGCAGCAGTGAAGCAGTGTCTCGCTCTACAACCAACAACCAAACGCTCCAGCCGTATTTGCAGTTCCAGCCATATAATGGCTTGAGACGCACACACACATCACACATCTTCTTCCGCTCATCCGGGCCGGGTCGCGGGGCAGCAGTCTAAGCAGAGATGCCCAGACTTCCCTCTCCCCAGACACTTCCTCCAGCTCTTCTGGGGGGATACCGAGGCGTTCCCAGGCCAGCCGGGAGACATAGTCTCTCCAGCGTGTCCTAGGTCTTCCCCGGGGCCTCCGCCCAGTGGGACGTGCCCGGAACACCTCCCCAGGAAGGCGTCCAGGAGGCATCCGGAACAGATGCCCGAGCC